ATCAAAATCGCCCGGAAACCCAAAGGTGTTGGATGTGAGTGCAAAACACTAGCCGACGTTCAAACGAATATAATGATAAGGCTAGAAATAAATGAAGGAAAAAATTCTATGGCTGGAAAAAAGTGGCAAAGGGAGTTTGGTGCTGGAACAGCAACGACATTGCGGTTGACGGAAAATTATCACGGATCTGGACGTATTGTAGTTGGTGATGCTTGGTTTGGTTCTGTAAAAACAGCAGTGGAACTATCCCGTCGAGGCTTGTACTTTCTAGGAATGGTAAAGGTTGCTACTAAAAATTACCCAATCAAATATTTAAAAGAAAATTGCCCTCAACAACGTGGTGCTACTGTGACGTGTAAAACAAGAATAGATGACATTGAAGTAGTTGCCGTTGCTTGGCGTGATGCTAAAACACACACATTTGTTGGAACATGTGGAACTACTCTTGAAGGCGCACCATGTGTAAAACGGAGAGTAGATCAAAATGGTCAAAAATATACAATTGAGGTTCCGAGGTTGAAACTTGTGGAGGAATATTATGAAGGTTCTCCGTCTATTGATATTCACAATCATTTGCGACAAGCAGGTTTAGCACTGGAACAAAGTTGGCTTACACATAATTGGAAGCACAGACTATATGCTTCTTTTCTTGGGATTGTAGAAACTAACGCATATTTAGCGTGGAAATATTTCAAGAATGATGCAAAAATGTCTCATAGCACTTTTACGAAGAATTTGGCTTATCAGATCTTGAACCATAATTGGGAAGCGGAAGAAAATGTCGAAAATGAAAATCCAAATAGTAGGCTACAAACAGCAGGGGATCGGCAAATTGAACAAACTGGTAACATACCTACGCAACACAGTTTAGTTCCTTTAAGCAGCATAGATGAAAGACGACGTGTTCAACGCAAGTGTGTCATTTGTTCTCGAATTCGAAAGAAACAACAAAAAGCAAGTTACTTTTGTGATTCTTGTGGCCAAAATGCTATTCTTTGTGCTCCTACTACTGGACGAAATTGTTTTGCGCACCATATAATACATGGATTACCGCAAAAATAATTTTTTGTGTTCTTAATTTTTTTCAATGTTCAATGTTCCTGCTTTAATGTTCTAATTTTTTTTATTTACCTAATACAGAATTTTGGTTTTGTTACTTTATGGGAGTTTTTTTATGAAGTTTTCTCTCCTTCTAAATTTGTTTATTTCGATATTGTATGTTACGTACACTGCACATTATGGACAGTACAATAAATCTCATGTCCTACAAAAAATAATAACTTTTAATCTATTCATTGATTTTTGATTAATGTTTTAAAAATTGTTCGCAAAAATATTCCTGACGCCTATGGAAAATGTCGCCGTACTGCTGGAAGCTCATTGCGTCCTTCTGGAAGGACATTTAAATTAAAAAATAGCGTACTTCTGGCAGGACCAATTCGTTTGTCCAACTGTCCTTCCGGAAGGAGCTTCCAGCAGGACAGGGTGCTGGACGTTTTATCATTATGGACCGTTCTTATTGGTTTTGAAGCGTTCTAAATAGTTTCAGGCAATTTTTAATGCTTCTGGAGCATTTTAAATGATTATGGACCGTTATAAAATGGTTCTGAAACGTTCTTAATGGTTTTAGACAGTTCTAAATACGTTCATCAGTTTCTTCCGAGTTTTTCTATTTGTTTTTCGTGAGTTTTTCGTGAGTTGCCAAAAATTTTCATATTCTGTTTCGATTAGTTTAGCAATGTTGGTTATATTTTTAACGCTTAACCATATTGCTAAAAACATGCTGTCATTAGTGAAAAATAGAGCTGACAACACTGTCCCAATATACAACAATAGACAACAATATAACCGAAAAAAGAGGAATCCTCCCTAAAATTTATTATTTTACGATTACAATTGACGCCATTGACGGCAGTTTTTCATGTGTTTCTGCGGTTGAAGCGGAGGCGGTTTTTATCGAATAATGAAAGTACGAACAAAGAAAACAAGCAAGGAACAAATGGAAGTGACAGTTAAAAAAATATTTAAAAAACCTAAAAAAATGAGTAATAATTTTCATAATTCATCATTTCTGAACTAGCGCAACTTGTATAGATAAAAGGTGTTGTATCTCTTAGAAATGTATCCGTCGTATAAAGGATTTTAATTGCAACGCGGCAACATTGCAACATACTGGCTCGTGGCGTCATTGTCATTTTATATCGGCCATTAAATTTCAATTCTTAACGCACGACCGTGCGGGATTCATTCGAACTCGTATTGTCGACCGAGCTAATTTAATCGGCCTCGAAAATTATGTTTTCATTTTTTTCTCCATATTTTTCGAACCCCTATAACTGGCGGAATTAAATTTTATGCTACCCCGTTTGTTTGAAAAACTGCCCTTTACGCTCGGAACGTCACAGACCGCGCATATTCACGGTCCCTTACGCGCGAAACGAACCCCGACGACATATTCATGAAAATGTTATTCGAAAATTCGAAAGGAATTCCCGTTTTCAATCGCTCCGGCCTCTAAAACGACATCATCGAGGAAGGGACGTTCGATTGAGGCTCAATAAAATTCGTTCTTACACATGTTTTCTGCACAACTCCAGAATATCTCGACTGATATTTAAGAAAATTTATCCGAGCGAATGGCTCGAACATTTCCGGGGCTTTAATGGACTTGCATTGTCTAGCGAAAACTTTATCCCAAATTCGCCATTCCCAAATGAAGTTTTTAACGTAAACTTTCCTCCAATACGTTCCTGGAAGTTGACAACAACTTCGTCACGTAAAGACGTTAACCGAACGGGAGGAAGTTGGGGAAAATGAAAACGGAAAACCTGCGGGCGAAAAACTATATAGAGAAAAGTACGGGTTCTCGCCGGGGGGTGTTTTTCTTTTTATCGTTCATTAGATTTTCGCGGCGTTTCATTGAATTAGCTTTTTGTGCAGAATACGCGCTAGAGGTAAGTGTTTTATTCGGTTAAAAATTGAGCAGGATGCTTCCTTGAGGCTCGAAACTTTTCTCTCGGGTGTCTAGCTATTTCGGAAGACTTTTTGATTATAGATTCGAGATATTTTATTACTTTTTAAATGGAAAGAGGAAGAGAAAGGACAATAAACGCTTTTAATAGGTCAAGACTAAACAGCCCTAAGAAAATAGCCCAAAGATAAAATAACATAAGAGAAAAGAATAGGTTACTTACATATCACACTACACTAGATTTATACAAAAAAATGTATAAAAATAATGTATTTTTGTACAAAAATTTTAAGTAGCACACTCAAAAGCAAGAGTGCTATTTTATCTTTGGGCTATTTTGTCTTAGGAGATTTTGGACTTTGGGCTGTTCTGTCTTGAGCGATTATGTCTTTGGGCCATTTTATCTTCTGCGAATATGTATTATTAGATTACTTTGTCTATGGGCTATATTGGGCTATTTTGTCTTTTGATTTGATCTTTGCGCTATTTTGTATTGGGCGATTTTATCTTTGGACTATTTTATTTTTGGCGATTTGGTCTTGGGAGATTCTGTCTTGAGCGATAATGTCTTTGGGCTATTTTGTCTATGGGCTATATTGTCTTTGGGCTCTTTTATTTTGGGCGATTTTGTCTTGGGGTTATTTTGTCTTGGGCGATTTTATCTTTGGGCTATTTTGTATTAGGCGATTTTGTCTTTGGGCTACTTTATTTTATTTATGGGCTATATTAAAAAATAAAATACTTTCTCTATACTATACAGGGCTTTTCACGGTAACCGTCCATTAGAAGTATCTCAATAATGAGAAGACTTAAAAATCTGAAATTTTGGTTATAGAATTTTTTGGATAATACGAATTGATCTAAAATATTTTCATTTTGATTACATTTCCGGTTATACCGGAAGTTGACACCAACTTCGTTATTTTATATGGAAAGTGCCATTTTTAATTTAATTTTTGAATTCTATGGCCTTTTTTAACTAGACTTTGATAATAACACCATATGCAAAAAATGCACCATTTTTAAGATATTTCAATATTTTTTGGAAAAACAGTCGAATGTATTTTCTGTGATATCTTTGTTAATAATGCAGCTAGAAGCTTAAAATTAAGTATCGATGATGTCCAGACATACTACTAAATGAAACTAAACTGTATTTTCAGAATCCATGTACAGGGCGTTTAAAATTGTCTGACAAACTTGGCCAAATTAAAGTGGCCATAACTTTGTTATTTCAAATGGATCACCCTGTATTTTTTAAAAGTGACCAATGCAGTTTTTTAAGGCCTTTCGATCCATATGGGTATGACCTATACCCAAATCCAGTAGTTTTTGAAATAATCGAAGTTTTATTAAATAAGGTATGAATTTTCTTTTTTTTTAGTTATCTAGTTGGCCATTTAATGGCCTTGATGAATTTTTAAATGTATCAATATGCTCAGGGGTTAAAACTAAATTGGTCTTCACGTAAATACGCGTTATTAAAATGTTTTTAAATTTGAGGGTTGTCTTAAGAATGAAATTACCTTTAAAACGAGGTGTCACTTGACCCCCCTTTCCATAAGAAACAAAGATTCAAAATGGCGCCTAACTGTCATTTTGAAAGTTTCATTTGTCATTTTTACTTTATAATCCAATATAAACACCCCAAATTGCGCGACAAAAGCTCTTATATACCATTTAAAAGTTAAAGGGGGGCGAGGAACTTTTGGCCCTCACTGTATAAATAAAAATACTTTCTCTAAAAATAGAATCTCAAAACTTAAAACTAATATGACGAATATCCCATAAGACAAAACAAAAAGTCTTCTTTCCTAGTTGATCCTAGTCCTTCTAAAAAAACAAATAAAAATCGAATAATTGCTGGTTTGGAAAATTTGCTATTGAAAAATTGTTTTCGAATAACTTTACTTTTTTCCGAATAATTTACCGACCCCCTTAAAAAAACACCCCGTATATCTAATTTCCGAGTAACTTACAAAAGAAAATATAACTTGAGTGACAACACTCTCATTCCAATTTGCAACAGGTATAAGCGAAAGGGCACTATCGCAGGCGAAAGCCCCGAATAGAATTCATCGCTCGATGGAGCACGACGCCGCGACGCCTTCCCCCTGGCGCGTCGCGGGGCCCGAGCTTTCGGTTTTCGGCGCGGAGCTTTCGCAATCAAACGAGAGATCGAAGAGACGCGGAGCTTCCGGCCCGCGAGCGGCCCAATTGAAAATTCTGGGCGAGAATTTGCATAGAGTGATAGAGTGATAGAGGAAAAATATGGCGTCGCCTGAGAAAATTGCCCGGTGTGTTGTATTTCGCATTTCGCGGTTGAACCGGCGTTTGAATTTTCTGCAGAATATTTTATATGTACCGCGAAAATACAAACAAAATGAACTGCTTTATAAAATTGCATAGAAAAATGCAATGTAAAATTCATTTGAACTTTGATTATCGCCGATTGAAGATCGCTTTTTTAAATACAAGGGTAAGGTGAGAAAAGGTCTGGCAATGAAAGACCGCGATTTTTAGTCGAAAAATGTAGTTCAAGACAGTTCTAAATGATTCTGAAATGTTCTAAATGGTTTTAGACAATTCTAGATTACTATGCTGGAGCGTTCTAAATAGTTCTGATGGTGGTTTCTAAATAGTTCTAGACATTTCCAAATGATTTTAGAGCGTTCTAAATGGTTTTAGATAATTCCAAATTATTCTCATTCATTATTTCAGTTCTAAATGATTCTGAAGCGTTCTGAATGGTTGTGGACAGTTTTAAATGATTCTAGAGCCTTCTAAATGGTTTTATTAGACAGTTTTAAATGCTTCTTAAGAGCATTCTAAATGGTTTCAGACAGTTCTAAATGACTATGGAGTTTTCGTTCTAAATCAGGTGCGTTCTAAATGGTTCTAAACAGTTCTAAATGATTTTAGGGCGTTCTAAATGGTTTTAGATAATTCTAAATTATTCTCATTCATCATTTCAGTTCTAAATGATTCTGAAGCGTTCTGAATGGTTGTGGACAGTTTTAAATGATTCTAGAGCATTCTAAATGGTTTTATTAGACAGGTTTAAATGCTTCTGAAGCATTCTAAATAGTTTTATTAGACATTTTTCAATGCTTTTTAAGAGCATTCTAAATGATTTTAGGCAGTTCTAAATGACTCTGGAGTGTTCGTTCTAAATCAGGTGCCTTCTAAATGGTTCTAAACAGTTTTAAATAATTTTGGAGCGTTCTAAATGGTTCTAGACAGTTCTAATTGATTGGAGAGCGCTGTAAATGGTTTTGGGAAATCACTTTTGGATTGATCACTTTTGATAACATTAACCGGCTGATAACAATAAAAGAAAAACAAGACGATTGTCAATGGATTAAAAAAATTATTTACAGTATATAAAAAAATAACAAAAATTATAGTGACTATTTAAAAAACTCATTAATTTTTGATTGGAGCTTACCGGAATTTAAGTCTTGCATATAATTTTCAAATTCGCTCTAAATGGTTCTATACAGTTTTAAATGATCTTGGAGCGTTCTAAACGGTTCTAGATGTTTCTGCAGCGATGTTTCTTTGAATCGGTTTGGATCGGTTTGATTCGTTTGGATTTCAGTTTGGTTTTCCAGCGTTCTAAATGGTTCAAGGGAGTTCTAAAATTAATTATAAATATCCCAAAGAGGAAGCAAGAATTGAAGCGCCCTGAGTGTATCAGACCGAGAACTTTTCACTCTACTCTCGAATCATTACCGATAGTACCAACGATGAACAAAAGTTTCCCTATTACACTCTTTTCTAAATAAACAATATAAACATCGTAGACCCAGAAAGAGCATTCATCGCAAAATAGATGACCAGCGCATTATCTCGCCGATCTTCCCGACCGATTTAATACAGAGTAACGTTTTTATCTCGATAACAAGAGAACCTGTTAGTGTGAGCAACGTAGGTCAATAAAGAAAAACCCATCCCGACTCACCCCGGACGAGAGCTAGAGCGCCTTTGACACCAGGACCCTTCCTGGGTCGGGCGATATTAGATGTAGGCATTGTGCTTTATATTTCTAAGGTCTAAGGTCTGGAAACATAGGTCGAAAAAGTGTCCCGTTATTCGAGGATAAAACAGGATTCCTAAAACGGCCGCTAGGAGGCGCGTTTTTTTTAGAGCTCCTGCAGTTTTTGAGATATTTAGCTCAAATTTAGTATAGGATATAGGGTATAGAGTATAATTTGAGTAGGAGGGGACCACTTTCAATATTTATTGCAATATAATTTAATAATTATTATTTAGTGTTTTTGTATTGTAAAATAAGTCATTTGTACAGAAAATTGGTTTTAATTTTTTTCTCGATAACGGTCACCAGAAACGAATAAAGTTATTATTCGGAAAAAACTTCGTAGTCATTTTGGTCATCAGCCTTATCTAGCAAAAAATCATTCATAAATTCCTGTGACCTCTGCTTTTTTCTACCGTTGACAAGGCTAGGCCGTATCCAAAATCTTCGAGGGCGAAGAAGATGCTGCTGCTGGTGTCCATCAACTGCAACAATCATTGCAGCAGTAACTAACGCTGCATCATTTTCTGTATCATCCATGATTTCAGATGTTAATCCAGCAAAACCAATATTGAAAAATATTTACCCAAAATACTGATTCGACGATTATGTCGGTCGGCATAATGTCTACACAGCTTTAGAATCTACCAGCGGCGCGCAGGAAAAAATGTTTGGGGAGAAAAAGGGTACGCGACTCCTGAAAAAATATCACCCTGTAGAATTGAACAACCATCTGACATAATACCCAATAATGTGTGTCCTATAAAGTAATCTAGATTCAAAATGTGAGTTAAATATTTCTAAAAGTGCAGAAGCTACAAAGAAAAAGCAAAAATATCATGAAATTTCAACACCCTGTAATAAACCCTGGCATAAAACAAGTCAAGGAATCACCCGCTTTCGGATGTACACGATGTTTAGGAACACCCTGTATAGAATTAGCATTAAGAAAGGTTATATTCAAATTAAAAATGGACTATTTATAGACTACCATAAACACTTTTTTCAATAAAAAGTCGAATTTTAAATTTTAATCAGCTTAATTTATATTAAACAATTCCTTAACCATTTAGTTAAGAAAAACTCATAATAAAATTTCTCCAAAAAAACAAAATCCTTGAAATAAACAACATTTTCTAAAGTATATCATTTTCATGAACCTTTAGAGAGTGAACATAATATGGACCACATCCAGATTTAAGGAATGTTTTTTTTAATAGTGGTCCATATTTGGCTCACTTACTCTAATAATTTTCAACAACATCAACAACACCTACTTCATTAACTGTTTCATCTACGTTATGATTTACGATCCATATTTAAATTTTTGAAAAAAGCAGCACAAAAGAAACAAAACTCGGTTATAAAGCAAAAGCTGATCACAAATCATCAAAATTGGACACCTTATCCTAACCTTATCACAGGATAAGGATTTATATTAGGGAAACGATGTAGGAAAGACTTGTGAAATATTTTCATCATGTGATTACTTTTAATTACATGATGCTTTGGAGAAATTGGGCATATGTGTAAACACCATAGACCTATTAAGTATGGACGCGGCACAATCGGTATTTTGAGGTTATTCAGCGTTCCCAATGATAGAGAGAGAGGTCCGTGAGAGATGGAGCTAGTTTGGGCTAAAAGTAGGCGGGACCAAAAAATATATAAAATATATACAGGGTGTGTGGAAAAAGGTGATTAATCTGTTAAATTATTTATACGCTTAATATTTATATATTGTTTTTATCTTGGTATCCACTTGGACAGAAGAATGACCTGGAAGAAACAATTTTTTTACAAGAGAAAGCAGCTAGTCTTAAATTGCGTAAAATCTGTACTGGCTAATAGGTAGGATGTTCCAATTAACAATACAAAATAAGAACTGTATTTGCAAATGCGTGGGAATTTAGGCTCAGCTGAAAAATGAATTTTGCTCGGTAAAAAAATAATAAATCCTCAACCCTATTCTACTATAAGCTACCCTCCTCTACCCCAGCTACCTTGCATTTCTGAAAACGTAACTCACGTGATCTTTTGCTTTCTTACTATATGTAGACCTATTCAGTTTAACCTGTGCTGCGCGCGCATACTGTGGATAATTAACTTGCCATCTAAACGAACAAACGAACGCACCTCAGGTGAAATACGGTTCTGACAACCACACAACGACAACTTAAGACATACTTCAGACGTCATTTGTCATTATCCAACAATCCGTCGGATTTAATTTGTAATGGACTCGATACAAATTTGTTTTTACCGCCCAGAAAGGGGATTAGGGTTAAAAAAATATATGCAGGTCAAGTCTAAGAAAGAGTAAGAGGTTAGTACAAAGTTTCTCAAAATGCTTTTTGATCGGCTAGCCATTTTATATTTCAAAGAAATAATCCCATTGACCTATATAAAAAAATATAACCTTTATAAATAAATATACTAAATAATACAAAGAAACACTGTTAAAAAATAATACACACTGAACATAAACAAACATCAAACGGAAACAAGCAACAAAATAGGGTTAATATTGAAGATGGTCTCTTCTTTTTTATATTTATTTCAGTTTTCATCTAAGAATCATTCAATGTGTCTGTCAATCAGCATTGAAATAGGCCAAATATCTCATCTCTCTTGCACTTATGTTTGCGCAGATTTTAAATGGTTCCACAGATTGCGCGTGAAACATATTTGCTTCTTTTATTATCTTATGTTGATCTAATAACTCCATCACTCTCTTTCGTAAACTGAATAGGTCTATTGGCTAATGCATTGTCCAATCTCTCATTGCCATATGCCCAAACTAGCTGCATCTCTCTCATTCATCGACAACACTACCTTTTTGTCTAAACCGCGTCCATAGTTAATAGGTCTATGTGTAAACACCTACTAGCTTGTCATATATGCAAGCGAAACTAGCCCAGCTAGTAGCTAGCTACAAGTTACTATACCAATGTAAACGCCGCATAAAACACACATTTCGTTCATGATGCTTCGGAATTTATTAAATCATAAAATAACACATTGCGAATAAATATATATAAGCGGATATCGGGAATTAGACCACGACGTAGGGCGAGCCGTAGGGAGAGAAGTACGGGTAACCGCCGGCGTAGACGGCAGGAGAGGCGTAGACGGGGGCCGTGTAGGCGGACGTGTAGGCGGACGTGTAGGCCACAGGACTCGCCACCACCGGGGCCGTGTAAGCCGCGTAGAAGTCCGG